AAACATTTACGCCTGTGGACAACCTAGAATCACCAGTTTAACCTAATTCCAGCAACTGTACCTGGAGAGAATCCACAGAGACACAAGGAGAACATGCAAACTGCCCACAGGAAGGCCAGACAGTGGATTCAGACTCGGGACCTTCTTGTTGTGAGACGACGGTGCTAATCACCAGGCCACTATGCTAGCTGTGTCAATAAAGACAAACTGACAGCAGGAAGTAGAACCAATATGTTCTGGCAATACCAGAAACCCATAAAAATGGTCTGTTGCTCTATTTTTACCCAGTTGATTCAGCTCTGACTGCAGGATGCTTTGTGTTGAGTTGACGATGATCATTTCTTCCATTTTTCCAGGATGCCAGGCACATAGAAAGCCACACCTTTGCCACAAGTACGCTAACACAGTTCTGCATCCTCTTCAAGAGGACCTTCATAACTGTATGTCGAGACCAGGTGGGTGGAAGGATCGCTTCAATAATCACAGCTGTCACGAACAGATCAGATGTGCTCTTACCTGAAACGAGCCTGATCATGGATGTTTTCTTTCTCCACTGTCGTCCATTCTCAGGTTTTGACCCACCTCAGAGTGATATCCCACATCTGCATAGGTGTGTTAATAGGTTTGCTCTATCTCAACATTGGCAATGATGCCAGCAGGGTGTTTAACAACACTGGATTTCTCTTCTTCTCTATGCTCTTCCTCATGTTTGGAGCACTCATGCCTACTGTGTTGACCTGTGAGTATGATCGAGAGGTTATGGACTTCCTCCCCTGTTGATACTATTATGATAAATCTCATAAATGTGTGTAAACATTTTGGGCTTTTGGCAGTTCCTCTGGAGATGTCTGTATTCCTGAGGGAGCATCTGAACTACTGGTACAGCCTGAAAGCCTACTACCTGGCCAAGACCATGGCTGATATTCCCTTCCAGGTGAGCTGGCAGTGCTGTGATTGGATTGGTGGGTTTACTCACTGAGGGCCTGAGTGCTGACAAACAACAAAATATATCCACTTAGCTTCACAACACTGTACTCTAGTGTTAGCAGATGGTGTTTGCAGGTTGTAGGAGCAGATTAGTTTGCTAACATTGTTGTTGGGTCTCATCATGTCAAAGAAGTCACCCAACTGTCTGTTATTGGTTATACTGTAGAGCGGCAGATTCAAACGTTCTCAGATGTAATGCGTGGGCGTTATCATGGATTGAAATGGAAACGAGGTAAATGTCACAGTGATTTGGAAAGCTACTTTTGATCCTGCTGACCATCATTGTCATTGAGTACAACCTTAATTTGTATTAAATCCATCAACATTTATATCTATTAAATAAACCATTGTGCAGTACTCCAGTCATTGTGATTGGCTGGCACGGGAGCTGAGGGCTCTGTGTTTGGATGCGACTGTAGCTGCAGCACACTTTAACATCTGTGACAGGGTGTCCTCGCTGTTCCTCTACTAAACATCAGTTAATGAACGTGTTATTTTAGGTGATCTGCCCCATCATGTACTGCAGCATAGTGTACTGGATGACAGAGCAGCCTCCTGAGGCAAGTCGCTACCTGCTCTTCATAGCCCTGTCCACCTGCACTGCCCTGGTAGCCCAGTCTCTTGGGCTGTTGGTTGGCGCTGCCTCCACCTCACTTCAGGTAGTGCATGTTTGCATTGTTTAATACACATTTTCTTGGCTGATGTAACACGATGTATATCCTCTACACCTCCCAGGTAGCCACATTTGTAGGGCCTGTTACAGCTGTCCCTGTGCTGCTGTTCTCTGGATTCTTTGTCAACTTTGACACAATCCCCAAGTATCTGCAGTGGAGCTCCTATGTGTCCTATGTCAGGTGAGTATCGCTGGGAGGAACATCACAGCTGCAGGTTCAGTCGGGTCCACAGGGTTTTGAGGAATGACACATTGCTTTTCTGTCTGTACACCATCACAGCACATTTTACATCAAGCATTTAAGAAAAGATTGAAGAGCAGACTTTCAGCTTTAATCATAAAATTATAAAACTATGTTTTCTTGCCCCAAAGATTATGAAGTTAACAGTATTTGAGTTTGGCTGATTAGTATATGATTTGTGAATGTTTTGTTTCTTTAGCAGCTGCCAAAACCTGGAAGAGTTGGTATCTTAAGTGTTTTGCTTAATTTGGTCACTTTCAGTCATTCATGTTAACTTAAGACAAGGATGTCAATCGCATATGGATAAAAAAACCACACTCATAAAAATATAAACAATCTGCAACACAAAGCTTGCTGCAGCAGCATCGAGTGAAGCACCAGCTGCTGCCCTCCAGCACAAAATGCTTGAGCCTACTGTAATAAGTGGAGATTAGTGGACAAATAACTAATGGTAAAACACTGTTAACACATTTACATCTGGTTCTGTGCAGTCATGGTGACTCTGTGTTTGTGCTTTTTGATTATTAATGTGCTTCGTTTCAGTTAGTTTCTGGTTATGTTTCAGTGATTTCTAGTTCTTAGGTTTTGTTCCTGTGCCTCCCGTGTTTAGTGTGTCATGTCTCTAGTGTAGGTTTGGTTCTGTTTCCCATGTTTCTGCCTCTGTTCCTTATGTTCTGTCAATCTGCATCTCTGGTTTCCTGTTTTATTGTGATAGTTCCGCGTCCTGTGTGAGTCTATTCTGTTTGGCTTCTTCTGTCTCATCGTGTCTGATTAGGTTCAGCTGTGTCTTTCTTCTGTTGTGTATTTCCCTCGTTACCCTCTGTGTATGTGTGTTCTGCTTTCTTACCCATCGGTTCGTCTGCTTATCATCCACTGATAACCGTCCATGTCTCAGGTATTCATGTATTTCCTAGTATTCCTGGTTTTTGTGTATTTCGTTTTCCCGGTTTAGGTTTTTGTGATTAGTTTCTCATTTATCTGTTTTTCGGCCTCAATAAAAGGCACGCCATTTGTTAAAATCCAGTTCCGTTTCCACGTTTCGTGCATTTGGGTCCACTACTTTCCACTCCACAGAGTCTACCTGCGCTGACACTGACACTTAGATTATAAAGTATCTGACTGATCCTTTCAAGCATTTTTTGTCCAAAAGTTATTCATAGGATGCTAACTATTTGTAAGATGCATTCAAATCCTCGATGGCTGGGCCTGATTACCAAAGTCATCCGCATTTATTACAGAAACAGTAAGCAATATTTGAACTATTGTGACCGGGCTGTTTACAGATAAGACTTCGTCTCTCTCGTAGGTATGGCTTTGAAGGGGTCCTCCTGTCTATCTATGGGATGAACCGCACAGAGCTGGAGTGTCCAGGGCCGGTGTGTAAGTTCCAACAGCCTGAAGAGGTTCTGCAGCTGCTAGATGTGGAGGATGCAAAGCTCTATGTAGATTTTATTGTCCTGGGAAGTTTCTTCATCATCCTACGTCTGGCCACTTACCTTGTCCTCCGCTACAAGGTCAAGTCAGAGCGATAGATTCTCTTCAGCTCATCTCCAAAACACACGACCCCCCCTAGACTCTGGACTCTTTCCTGTGCAGAGAGAACCTGTCACGTCATGTAGGAGTTTGTTTCATTTCATTTTACATGTTGCTGCTAAGTGGACAGAACAAATTCTGGTTGTGTTCTCCTGCCAGCTGGTGACAGTCCTTTAAACCACTATACAGCTGTTTTACCTCATCAAGAACTAATGGGTGTGCACAAAGCCATGTCACAGAGACTGAGCCACATTCAGCTACACGTGCTGTACGTTTTATAACTTACAGAAGTTTTTAGAGCCAAGCAGATGGGACTCAGTAGCAGAACTGACATCCTGCTTTAGTCCACACTGTGCTGCTGCTCTGGCAGACTGTATCTCTGGTCCAGGATACTCACCCCTTACGAAATTCAAATGCAAAAAGAGTGTTTACTTTTGTAAGCCAAAAAAAAAAAAAAATGAAGTTGCACTAAAGATGTTTGATAATGTGCCTGAAAGAGTGAAAAAGCAACAATCACGCGGCCTTTGTATCACTGAAAGAGAGAGCGGATTTGGGCCGTAGCCCTAAAAACATTAACTTCTCAAAGCTGTGGTTTTTATCATATTGATAGTTGTAAATTGAGCTTTGCTATGATCGCCTGAAGAAATTTGATATTTTTTGTACTTCCACATTATAATCATGAATCTAAATAAATCTGTTAGTGATGATCACGAGGACAAGCCTTAATCATATTCCACTATGTTTTATTATCTTTAGTACTCCATGCATATGCAGTTCAGTTAGAGCCAAGCAGGTGGGACTCAGGAGCAGAACTGACATCCTGCTTTAGTCCACACTGTGCTGCTGCTCTGGCAGACTATATCTCTGGTCCAGGATACTCACCCCTTACGAAATTCATTATTGTATTTAAGCTACATAGGTGAGTTACTGTACTGTCATTACTGTTTTTGTGTCCGCTCTACGTCCAGCAATGCCACTGATCTGGGTGCTATCTCACATTTCATTTTAATTACACTTTTTTTTTTTAAAAAGCAGATGTTGGGACTGCACATTACAGCATACTGAGCGACCAAAGACTGCTAATGAATCTGCACGTGTCTTCATATTTTTTTACATTGTGTTCTGTTTTTGTTATGACCACTTGTATGTTTATTAATCCATTCCATGTTGAAACACATAACAGCCAAAAGTTCTGTACAGCTATGTAAACTTCCAATAAACACGGATATGACAGATGCTTTGTTTAATTAATAACAAAACATGAAATATCCAATCAAAATTCCAAGAAATAAGATTTAAGATTCTGCATTTAAAGTGTCAACAGTGGCTAAGGACAATCCACAGAAAGATCTGGATGATCTACTCTGAGCTACAGTCATGTACCAGAACATTAGACAAATCCTCAGGTCTTAAATGAGATAAACACGACTTTATGAACAATGACCAAAGCTTATGTATTACACATTACTTTGACTCTTTAAGTCCAGGTGTGTGTACCTATGCTTGTAGTTTATAGATCCAACAACAGGAGTCGATGCTCTTTCAATGTAACACATTTGTCAACCATAGAAGAAGACGGGGCATCAAGTACATCCGGGTAATATTATGGTCGGAGCTTATGAATGCAGTGGTCATAGAAGTTTGGTAAGAACACTGAGGAGAGTTTGTGATGTTTCGTTCACCCTGACAGCTACAGTAAGCATACCCACGCGTGCTTTATAGTAACAGTGTAGCCTCCGACCTGTGGAAAAGAATGCTTCTGTCAGGGAGTAGCTAGCCTCAGTTAGCAACACTGTTTACATCCAGAGCAGCCAAGCGTAAACCTGGAAGGTCAGGATGAAAGCAATTTCTAAACACCGAGAGCGAAACCTGAATATTTTACTGCCACGTGGAGCTTTTTAATTTTTAATATTGCTACATTGGAATAAGTTTCCAAGTTAGCTGGCTAACTGAGAGTAGTCCTGCTTGATTAACTGGAAACTGAATGATGGACACTGTTTCATGTTTGTGGCTGATAGGTGATCTTTATGGTGTCCACGTCTCTGCTGTATCTGAGGTATTCTTGTATCTCCATTTGTCAGTATTATTATTTTTAATGTACTTTGAACTACTTTAGCCCAGCTCTCTTTTCCCCAGGGCGCCAAACCTGCACAAAACCTCACAAGCTAGCCAGTGTCCTTCTGATCCAGGCCGGTGTTGTGCCAAAAAATGATAGCTCGTATTTAAACTGCTATAAATAACTTGTTGCTCTGTAATATGTGAAACAAATGTATCCCTCATGAATGCTATCAAGTCATCTTGAGGCACAAACAACATTCATGTCACAAGGTAGAAGCTGCAGTCGTTTTTTGGCAGTGACGTTTATATATCCTTAATTTTTCCAGTTAAAAAAACATCTTGTTGACTTTTAAAATGTCTTTTTTTCAGAGTAATCTGTTCACTGAGGTCTATTAACCAACATACATAAAGATATTACACATAAAAAACACAGAAACATTTGAAATCAGTTTTTGGCACAACACTGGTGTTGGCATTACTAATGCTTCGTCTGTCTGAAATCACTAACCACATGCCTGTACCAGATTTATGTTTCCAGGCATCTTGTTGGTGTTACTGCTGTTGAGGAATCATCTCTATAAAAGCTTCACAACATTATATTAAAACACATGTGCTTTCCCCTGCTGACACACACTTAGCCCAGATGTTCTCACATCTGCAGTCTACACATAGAGTCCGTTTTTATTTTTACCAACAGCTGTTTAACCAGGAAGGGATGCCACCTTTAGCTGGAGCCGAGTTGGTCCACACTCCATTGCAGCTGTATCGATACCTGCTCAGGTGCTGCAGGCAGTTACCGTCCACAGCAATGCAACAACACTATCGACATGCCATAAGACAGGTGAGGTCATCTTATGCACCGATCAATGACAAGCAAAATGTTTTCCAAGTGAAACTGTGACGGTAACTTTAATACCTTTTGGACTCTTGTGTGACAAGACTAACTGAGCTACATCACATCTGACACAGAGAAATGGTTTTAAACAGCTCATTGAGAATCAATCTGTGCTCATGAAGTATTCATATAATCCTGCACATAGTGAGGATCGGGAAAACGATGAAAATTGTCTCAATGCAGAATTAGTGAGCCGTCTTTATTAAGCACCAGTTCACAGCAATAGTTATTTTAGGGACCTGGCATTAATAAAGAGAGAACAGTCACATGATCACAGGGTGACAGTGGGGAGGAAGAACGTCACTTTAACAGGAAGAGACCCACCCAACCTGGTGTGTTTTTGGGATAATTCAGTAATCTTTGTATTACTGTAGAGCAGGGGTCCCCAATCCCAGTCAATGAGGGCCGGTGTCCTGCAGGTTTTAGATCTCACCCTGGGTCAACACACCTGAATCACATGATTAGTTCATTACCAGGCATCTGGAAGACATGTTGAGGAGGTCATTTATCCATTTAAATCAGCTGTGATGGATCAAGGACACATCTAAAACCTGCAGGGACACCGGCCCTCGAGGACTGGGATTGGGGACCCCTGCTGTAGAGTCTTGATCTTACAATATAAAGTGCCTTGAGGAGAGTAGCGCTTTATAAATAAAACTGAATTTATGGCCGTGTGATGTGATGAAATATATCAAATGACAAAGCCGATTGTTTCATATTATACTCGACAGTTTATTTTGTATTGTGTGAAATACACCGATAACTGCGATACTTTTGCACCGACAGTAGTCACCACGGCAACACAGAAGGAGCATACAAAACAAATCGAGGGGCTCGTTGCTAGACGAGGGGTTACCTCTGTAACCGAGTCTGACATGGAGCAGAAAACTGTGCCGACCCGGCCCCCTCCACAGACACCCACACCACAGACCTCTGACACCACCTAAGCAAGAATCGCGTGTTTGCGAATGAGAAGCACAAAGAATCCCGAAGATAAATATACATATATGGTTTTGTTCACTGATCAAAACACACAACACGTGACTGTGTGGGGTGTATTTATAATCATATTTATTTAACTTTTTATTATTTCAATGAAGTAAAAAACGAGCAGTACTTTCAATGTGTTGGTTATATAAACTATTCACTGAATTTACAGAAAATGCCAATATTGTGATTATGTCGTTATGGGGATTAGAAATGACTTGTGTCAGGAGATTTGGGTGATGGTGAATACAATTCATCTTTTGTTGACTGTACTGAAAACCCCAGTCCTAGAGTCCATACTGACCACTTTAGACACGTGTGTTGTGTATTTTAAGTCAACAGAAATGTTAAAAATCTGACCATTTTTAAACAGATATAATATAAAATGGAGAAAAGCAACAAAACATCTTAAAAATAACTCGCGCACAGTTCTACAAACGGTTGTTGCAGTGACGTGAAGAGGCCCATCTAACGCTGCCGTCATCGCTAACCTTATTTTCGGTTTCTGTTGTGATGTGATTGGCTGGCAGCAGCAGTAGAACAGTTAACGAGCCGTTTCCTGTGAAGGCAAACTCCCGACCTTTGACCTTTGTGCTGCACTATTGATTTGTATTATTAGATAGTGCTGACATGTTTATGGTCACCATAACAACCAATAACTGTGACTCATGCACCATTAATGTATCATCATCATCACTACTGCTGAAAGTAGTTTCTGCCAAGATCATAAAGTCTTTGTTTGCTGTTTGTTTCCAGGGTTACAACAGCCACTCAGATGAAGACGACCCTGAGAGGACACAGATGATCATCCAGAGAGCGATTGCAGATGCTGACTGGATTCTTGATAAAGTAAGGATAAAGGAAAGAAGACCTCCAAGGTTACACACATGAACATAAAGCGTAATGTTCATTTCGTTTGTCATTCACAGTATACCAAGAAGAAATGAGCGCGTGTCCACGGCGGTGCATTTTGCAGGGCTGTCCCGGAGTCACACTGGTGAAGGTGCTGTCCCTGTCTGCGAGTGCTCAGGGTGTTATGGTTTTTTTGAGGGATGACTCGCTGTAAATACTGTTCTCAAACTATGCCATTAAATGTGCAATCATGAACTTAGTTGGTTTGTTCCTTGGAGCAAAAATCGAACAGGAGATGGAAACTGAAACTATTCAGCCAACTACAAAGAGTTCATGGTTTTATGCTTTATATACATATCAATGTCCTCTACAGCCTCTGTGTCTGAATGATGAACACACGCAGTAGTTGGTCCAGTGTTGTCTGAGCATGGCTCCCACCTTAATGCACGTTTAAAACTTTAAATATGTTTACAGCCTACTAAGAAAGGTACTAACGTTCGTACCAGAACTGTGAAAAATGCTACAGTACTTGTTTTTCCTTTACTGCCGTAGGTTCCTCAGGCTGCGTATGTAATGATGTAGAAGCAGAACTGAAGGGGACGACATACGACCGACAAGGCTTCTAGATTATCTTCCATGCTGAAGAAGAAGGAGAACATGGAAGATGGCAGCAAGTACAGCTGCTAACATATCGCTGCCCGTACTTGTTAATAGTAAAAGTCTGGTATGGAAGTACTGAAACACACTTTACTACTTTGTTTGAGACAGCTAGCATCAAATCAGCTGTGTTCCTTACTAGAGCTGGGCAGTCAAAAAGGAATCAAAACTGACACTGGGAATCTCTAATCCACCCGATCTTTCCCGTGTCGGTTATTTCAGTTTTTTTAAATTCTGTGTTGTCACGTGACTCTGTGCCTTCTGCAGCATCATGGAGAAAAACAAACAAATCAACACATCGAGCTGAGCGCACAACTTCAAATCTCACGTCTGTTGTTTGGACACGTTTGACTTTAGTAAAGACGACTTCAAACAAAAGGGAGAAAAACATTTCATCGTCCAACAACAATACTACTAATCTGTTGCAACGCTTGGAGGACAATCGTGTCACCAATTAAAAATATCCCACCTTTAACAGTCCGCATATTTACAGTACGACCTGACTGCACGGGGTTATGGTGTCTGTGTCTGTATGTGTTAGTCCCCATAGGGAAATAGTTCCTCTGCATTTAACCCATTCACCCAGTGAAGCAGTGGGCAGCCACCAGTGCAGCGCCCGGGGAGCAGTGTGTAGGGACGGTACCTTGCTCAGGGGTACCTCAGGGTAGCCGTTCAGTGGAGTCGAACCCCCGACCTTCCGATCATGGGGCCACCACTCTACCTACTGAGCTATCCCTGCCCAATGTGGTGTGTTGTGTGTCGAAATTTGAAGCGAAAAATGAATCTAGTTTGGAAAAAGGCTGGAACGTGATAAAACGTGGGACAAGTGAGTGCTACGGTCAGTGTACTGCACACAGTGGAGATGGACACGTTTGAAAAAGCAGACCGTGTAATATAATGTACTCCTATTGATGGTGTCAACAACAAAATCAATGTTAACCACCTGAAAGAAAATCATTCAAAGTGTACTTTAGCTGTCAGGCTGCCCTTTCAGACTTCCTGGGTTAGATCCTAAAGGCCTGTTTCAGCAGATTTGCAGGTCAATGTGTAGTCGGTGGTTGGACGAATAGAAAAGCTGCTCTCATGTTGCATCAGTGGAGGGTGTCCGATCCAGGATTGCAGGGGAAGCAAAGATATTTCTCTTTTCTTTTAGTAAATGAGGATTTAAGTGTTGTTATTTAAGTACTGAAAGAAGAAAAAGAACTGACTCGAGATCAGATTTCAGCCAGTTTGTCACAACCAGGAAGGAGTTTAGGTGACTCCATCCGTGGACCTACAGTATATAAAAGCACACGTGAACTGCCCTCTGCAGTTTTAGGCTTGTGACATGCTTTCTTCCCTATGTGAGGTAAAACAGTGCCAGAATATTTGCATATCACGTAATCTTTATTAACACAATACTTAATTGCACATTGTTAAACTTTGCTCACGCATCTCTTCTACAGCTTGGAGGCAAAGGTGATACTTCTGTGCAACATACAGTATTCAAGTATAACCATTTTTCTCAAATAAATGCTGGATAACAAGGATACACATACAAGAAAACCATGAGAATGTTTCGTATGTACTGGCCTCACCAACCAATGGAATAAAACAAAAACATCCTGATCTGCTCATTTTTCTTGAACTGAAACTTATTTACAGCTACGTGCACATGCAGTATTAATCTCCATTGATACAAAAAGTAATAAAACTAGATATACAGACTAAAGTATAAATAGTATAAATAGGTTCTCTTTGTATAAATAGCTCCATCGTCTTCAGTGTTGGTGTGACATGTTGAGACACTTGATGCCAGCAGAGGTGAGCACGTGAAGCTGCAATGTAAATGCGCACACCTGCTGTCCACAGTGGGAAACAGCAGGCAGTCAGTTCACACACAGCACGTCAGAGGAGGAGGCGTCCGTGACGTCAGAGTTTTGGGACTGCTTCGGAAAAGGAGCTGCAGCGGAGTAGTTCTCTGAAAATGGGATAGGCACTGAGGAAAGTCGCAGACTGTTTGGTCTCGGGAGTTCTTACTTCTGGAGAATAAACTGGTCGATGAACTCGTTCTGCTCTGACTCCACTTTGGACAAAGCTTCGTACTCTATACGATATCTGGGACACAACAGAAAACAGCAGACAGACATAAGAAAGGGATACCTGACTATCCTTTACTTACGCCTACCACACATTAGCACAGCACTGGGCCTCCTCCGCTAGCATGTGTATGGAAATGTTTCTACCCTGCACAGAAAATATATGTTCTCCACACAAGGCCTTTATTTAGGCACAAGTACTATTATAATTTTTTTAGGAGTGTTACAATTAAACATTGGAATACAATATAAATGCAATATTGTATAACTGTGTGACAACAACATGGAGCGTGCTGGTCTGATGAAAGCTGGAAAGTTTATGCTAAATGTGTTTTTTTCCTATTGTGTTTCACATCCTGTAAAAAAAACAAACAAAAAAAAACACACTAAGGTTTTGGAGAATTGTCATATCCCCGATTATACACATGGGACATCATAGCCTACTGTCCTGCACAGATGGGTGTCTCTACCCACTCTTTTTTTTCCTATATTACCTTTCAAGCTGCATCTTCTTCTCTGCTATGAGAGCCTGAAGCTGCTGCTGCTGGGCCTCTCTTTGCTTTGCTACAGACGTCAGCAGGTTTCTGGCTCCAATGGCCTGAAGGAGAATAACACAGAATCATACCTGATAAAAGTCTCATTCTCATGATCACATATCATACAGACACACTCAGATGTTATAAAGCTTTAGTACACGAGCACTACAACTTCTTTTGCAAGAGCCAATGAAAAGTCTTCAAATATCGAGCTTACCTTCATCTTTTCTGTCTCTGCTTCTTTTGCCAGTTCATCCACGAGCTCAATCAGACCTCCCACTATCTTCTGAAACTGGCCAATTTCTGTAAAGAAGAACACGTGTCTGTAGATGCAGGACCTGCTAATGTTAGGAGAGCAGGTTAAACTAAATGTGATCTGTGCTTACTGTCCACAAACTCTTTGCACTCTTCTTTGAGCTCTGAAGTCTTCTGGCTGACATCAGGCTCCAACACTCGCAGCTTGTTGAGTTCATCAAAATAAAAGCCTGCCTCAGCTAATGGGTCTGTAGCCATGGCCACGGGGCCTGCCACAAAGGAGACAGAAAGAGTGATAGAGGAAGACCGGCATGAGAGAAGTTAAACACGGATAAAACATATAGCTTTGATATCAGCATCCAGAACAAGTCCTTTAACTGCTACTGTAGTTAGCAGGCTTTCCAGCCCGATATAAAATCTTACAGTACAGATGACTTCATCTGGCCCTCATTTACTAACACTGTGTTTGCATCGGTTTTCTTCAGCTTCCTCCCACAGAGACATGCAGTTAGTGGGGTTAGGTTAACTGAATCAAAATTGCCCATAGATGTGACGGTGAGTGCAAATGGCTGTCTGTCTCTGTGTGTTAGCCCTGTGACAGATCAGTGACATATAGAGTCTCACCCTATGGTGCCTAACAACAACAATATAATAACATTATTATATATTATATACATAAGTTATAAAATAATTAGAATAATACTAAAATAATAGTCTTTTTGTTCATTATTTGCAGTCTTCCAAAACATCAAAAGTCACAAAATAGATCAAACTGCAGGTAAAGAAACCAACAAACTAAACTGGAAGGTCTAGTGAGGTCACTGTTACGTCTATAGTGCCACAGCACTATCTGTTGAGCCCTGTGCTGTGGTTGTTTCTGCTGCTGCTGACTGAAGGTTTCTGGGAGTTTAGTGTCATCATGTTTGTTCTACTGGCTAACAATCAAAGATATCGCCGCAGGGAAGCCACCTGTTTGAAACCGAAGACCTCAGTTAGCCATGGTCACATGACGTCAGTGTTTCCAACCAGACGTCGGAGCCTTGTTTTTGACTGTATGTCTGCACGTCCAGTCACGTTTAGCCACTAACGGTAACATATGGTCCGTTCATGCAAAATGAACTTTTCGTTGAACTGTGGTCTTCAGTGACAGACAGGTTCGAAACGAACATTTTACAAGCAGCTCTATTCACGGTCAAATTATCATTAAATAAACACGTACACATAACTACAGGCTTCTCCAGTGCAAGTCATCAGAATCACATTAACATCGGATACAATGGAAACTAACCTTAACTTATTTGAATGTACAAAAACGTTATAAACAGTCTGAGTAAGTAAAACAAAAGAAAGCTGTAGTATTACTCACTATTTCTTGCCAGTCGAAATCACTAACTGTGACCCAGGCTAACACTGTTAGCTAGCTTGCTAAAATTAGTTAGCTAATTCAAATAGCTAGTTAGCTAAGCTGCTCACTAACGCTAGTTGGACGCAACACATTAACCCCGTTAAAGCTAATAAACCTACGAGGACAACACGGTTTCATTAACCCCTAATATGATTTAAAAACGCTTGTACGTGTGATTTTACCTCTTCTAACCGCAGTCACAGATGGTTCTCTGTTGTTTGACTATGTGGCAGAGTAACAACCAACCAAAGCTCCTCCTCATCTTCTCGCTGCCAGGGAAACCAAACGCTCCTCCCTGTGTTTGTGTGTGTGCGCGTTTGTTTCCGTAACCTGCCTCATCCAGAGCCCTATGATATGAAGGCACTTCTGTATTTTATAAAAGGTGCTTCCTACAGTCACAACAAAGAGTTAAAACTGAAAAACCAAGGTAAGACCTGTGGGAGGCGTGACAGCTGAATGAAATGGAACGGGACTGGCGTGTACACGAACATTCCAATCCAATGAAGGCAGGGCAGTTTGTCTTGCAATACCTGTTACTGACGGACGAGGGCAGCATTGTGCTTTGCAATTGAAGGCCTGGCCAGCGTAAACTCTAGTGATGGGATTTCCGGCTCTTTTTAGAGAACCAGTTCTTTCGGCTCGTCTCAATAAAAAGAGCCGACTCTTTCGGCTTCCAACCGGCTCTTCAGGTTGTTTTGTTGGTTTAATTAATTTATTATTAACAACAATATAAAATTATGCAAAAAAACGTGGTTTTATTTATATATGTTTATATATAAATATATACAGTGGCCCCTAGAGACAAAGCACATACAAACTCCAAAAAGCACGTACAAATTCCAAAGCACATACAAACTCCAAAACACATTTCTAGCGTTAACTGAACTTCCAAAACACAAGCACTCATATATATTCAAATAATTTAAAATATGTTCATTTACCTGTTACTACCACACACCAAATCCGGTCGTTCGTACTTCCTGGCTTGTGTAGCCATTAGGTAACAAAAGCTCAACACTGCCCCCTAGCATCCTGGAGCACTTCTGTTGTGTTTTATACGTGTTTTGGAGTTTTTATGTGTTTTGGAGTTTGTACGTGCTTCGGAGTTCGTACATGTTTTGGAGTCTGTACGTGCTTTGTCTCTGGGGACCACTGTAAATATACTTTGGTTTATTTACTCCACATAAAATGTAATAAATGGTAAAAGGTCTGTATTTGTATAGCGCTTTACTTGGTCCTAAGTACCCCAAAGCGCTTTACACTATACACAATCATCCACCCATTCATACACTGGTGATAGCAAGCTACAGTGTAGCCACAGCCGCCCTGGGGCGCACTGACAGAGGCGAGGCTGCCGGACACTGGCGCCACCGGGCCCTCTGACCACCACCAGTAGGCAACGGGTGAAGTGTCTTGCCCAAGGACACAACGACCGAGACTGTCGGAGCCGGGGCTCGAACCGGCAACCTTCCGATTACAAGACGAACGCCCAACTCTTGAGTCACGATCGCCCGTTATAAATCATATAATACAAAAACCAACTATTTACATTTCAACTTTTAACTATTTAAATTTTCAGCTTTTTCCTTTTAAACAAAATTAAAGTGAAACAACACAAAATACTGCAAACCACAACATAATTAAATATAAATTAAAATATGAAAACAGAAAGAAGATGCACATTCTCTGTCATATGGACCTGCATGAATAAACTTTCTGAATCCTTTATCATCCGCAGCTGAAAATAGTTGTAGATGATTACTATACCTTTCTAATGTTAAGTTGTTGTCCCTGGCTCTGGCTCTCCCTCCCGCTCTGTTCCTGTGCTATTGCTAGTGTAACTACCGCCCCTCCCCCTTCCCAGCACAAGGCTCACTTGTGGAGTGAAGCGGAAAAAGGGTGAGAGAGAGAGGGTGAGAGAAAGAAAAAAACAAACCCCCACAGCTCGCGATAAGGAGCCGGCTCGTGTCGTTCACGTCAAAGAGCCAGCTCTAAGAGCCGTTTCGTTCGCGACCGACACATCACTAGTAAACTCGGTGGAAGAAGAAGGCGTGGGCTTGAGTTGGTTGAACTTCTTTTTCTTACGCAGCGGCGATAAAGCTGACTGCTTGTGTACATTTATCTAACAACTGAAATACAGCGCAGAGAGGTCGGTGAGTAAATGTTTGCAGACGTATTTAGTGTCGTTTACTCTCAGGATGTAGCGAAGGGCGACAACGTTAAGCTTTCCACTGAAATCTGTCAGTTTCATGTGACTTGTTGAGTGTGACACACTTACTTGGCAACGTAAAGTTTCTCTGCGTCATATTTAAGCTTTGCTATCTTTGAATAGATTCAAAACGTGCTCACACAAACACATTTTCAAGATCTAGGATTTCCAGGTTTTCGCGTTCGAAGGCTTGACATCCTGCTCAAACATTAGCTAACCTTAGCGAAACACATGCGCAGGAACTAGCTGTGAAACATTGACGCAAAGCTAATAATCCAGTAGCGTTACTATTTCAAGGATCCGGTGAATTATCGGTAATAACGTAACGGTGTGAAATGAGTACATAATAACGTTTCGACCGAACAAAGCATGCCGAGTGACCTGACCCCCCCACTGACACGTGAACGCATCTGGTTAGTTTGCTGAAAGTCATTCTGCTGCTAAACGGTCTCTTTCTTTGACATGCGCACTCAGATTATTGTTATTAGCCTTTTACTCGTTATTAGTGATTTTAAAGTTGAAAAATAAATATTTTTACTACCATTCCCGAGAAAAACATAAAACGCGATTTAAGCTTTTTTTGTGGCCCTTTTCAGTGACTAATGATATGTGCCCCCTCCCCACCCTTTCAGTTTCCGGTCCAGCCTCATTCCTCTGAGGGAGAGATGGCAGTAGGGCAGGTGGTTTCCACTCTGGGCTGGGCAGATTCCCCTCCATCTCTGCGTGTTTTATATGATTAATGCAACAGTTTTGATCAACGCTGACCTCTGTGTAGCTCCACAGAGAATGTTGGGGTGTAATTCAGGACTCTTGTTTGTTTTGTTGTTTTTCAGGAATGACCTGGAGCACCAGGAGGTTGTGGCGGCCTCATCAATAGTGGTCAACACGGCGGGGGACCTGCGGACCTCCATCTGCAGGGTGGTCATCTATCTCCAAAGGGACATGTCTGGGGACAGCTGCCTACCCCAGGACCTCAGCAAGTCCGAAACCACCTCCCCAGACCTTCCTCTGGCTTGTCCCAAGACCAAGACCTGTAGTCATCACGGAGCAGTGGGCTTAGGCAACAAGTATGTTCGGCTCAACGTTGGAGGGATGCTGTTTTATACGACGCTGCAGGTGCTGACCAAGCAAAACTCCATGCTGAAGGCTATGTTCAGTGGAAAGAAGGAAGTGTTCACAGATAAAGACGGTGAGCATTTCTGAGCTGCAGATACAAGTTTCCCAAAGTATAACCTCACATACACTGCATGCATACATTCACTGTGTTTAAAGTAGGAAAGATTACAAAAGTTCCACTAAATGTTTAAGTCGAGATTCTGGCTCACGAATCCAAGCTTGACTTTAAATTTCAGTCACTTTGAATTAAATTTTAGCTGCCAGTATTTATTCATTTATTTCAATCTGTACTGATTGAACAACAGGTGCTTTTGGATAGTGGGGGAGGCATGCTCTAAACTCGCTCTGTCCTTTGTGGAAAATGCTAGTTGACGTCAACTATGCAACAATTAGTTTTTCAGCAGACGTCTTTCTTATAGAGAAGTTCATCTGCAGAGTTGCACTGATCTAAACTCTATTTGATATCAGACTTGTCAGCTGTTGATAGTCGGACTCTGACATCTGCACCCAGACAAGCACAGAAGAGGAAATGCTTAGTTGTCTTCTAAAGCTTCATATATGCTTTTTCTTACATGAATGGGAACATGTTTACCATGAACTCGTGCAGAAAAGTTTCACAGTGATGTTTACCAACAAGGTTTTAGCAGCAAGCCGCAGAAATTGCACAGACCAGTTAAAATATAAAGTTTTATGACCTTTCTAATTTGCTAGAGACAGGTCTCCATGAATGTGTCCGAGAGTGTCTGAAATACAAACCTATGGGCTTGATAATAAAAGGCCGGTCCAACAGTGGATAAGACATTTTGACAGCAGTAACACCAGCGAGACTTGCACACAGCTTCCTCTCAGAGATGCTGGGTTTGCTGCCATGTCGGCTACACGCTGTTTCCTTTGAGGTGCCACAGCAGGTCCATGTTCTCAGCACTGTCTCTTTGCTCAGGTTGGATCCTGATCGACCGCAGCGGGAAGCACTTTGGCAGCATCCTGTGTTACCTTCGAGATGGCAGAGTTGCCTTACCCAAAGGTCGACAGGCCGTCCAGGAGCTGCTGGTCGAGGCAAAGCATTTCCTCGTCCAGGGCCTAGTGGAGCTCTGCCAAAACTCGCTGCAGGTCAGTTCCATCCATACACATCGCTCCAGTTTTAGCCAAACTACATTGGCTCCCTGTTAAATATCGCATAGATTTTAAAATGCTTTTGTTCACTTTTAAAATTCTGAATAATTTAGCGCCCAGCTGTCTCTCTGAACTCCTCCACTTATACCATCCCAACAGAGCACTTAGATCGTCCAATCACAGGCTCCTAGCACAACCTAGGTCTCGAATGAAGTCGAGCATTGACCGGGCCTTTGCAGCCGTGGCACCTCTGGAATAACCTCCCTGTTCATGTTCGTACTGCCGAGCCGATCCAGTCTTTTAAATCACGTCTTAAAACTTATCTTGTTACTTTGGCCTTTGATGCTGTCTAGTTGGCTGTTCTAGCTTGTTGTGTGTTTGTTTGTTGTCCTGTTTTATTGTTTGTTTTAACTGTCTCATGCTTTTACTGACTGTGAAGCACTATGGTCAACACTGTCGTTTTACTATGTGCTGTATAAATACAGTTTGATTTGATACGGACTCGTACGGTCCACACAGTGTTTGGGCACTTTGTTGCTCTTCAGACTGCAGCGCTTCAGTACCCAAAAATGAAATACTGGAAACTACTTTCAAGTGCCAAACTGTGATCTAAGTAAGCTTACACAAATGTGAGTAGCTCTAGACCCTCATATTAGCACATTATCGTCATCATTAATAATCATAAGATTACTGATTCTTGTTGGTTGTGTGGACGCAGCCTTTAGTCTGATCTTCAGCTCTGGGATCAGGTGATGAACACAGCAGGGCTCCGGTTCTCCATGATGTAACCTCTGTGGTTACTCCTGTCAACCTGTTCCTTGCATTAGCAGTGAGATTATCTATAAATGCCAGTTCACCTGGCAGACGTGCAGGCCCAAAGATGAGCTCCGTCTCGCCTGTGACACAGTCCCTGTGTTTTTGAATTTAGTGAAGGCTTTTGGTATCGTGTGCTGGAAACACGTTACTCTGTTCTTGCTGTGCAGGAGCCACGAAAGTGCTGAGAAGAAAACATTTGGAGATAAAATATCTTTTTCGAAGCTCTCAAATATTCATCTCACTGTTGACTTTAAAAAAATAGAAATATCGGAGATGTAAAGCGAGCAGTGTCTGATCATGTCACTCCCCAAATTCTAGTTTGTTACTCATGTGGTCACTGAGGAGTTACAGTGCTGGCCTTCAGTGTAGTGGCTTTCACATTTACTTAGCAAGTGTAAGGTTGCTGGTCCAATTCCAGCCAGGAACACAGAGTCTTGTTTGGGGCTGTGACGGGAACGACGGCCTGTGTAAGAACTCTGCCCACTGTAACCACCCACAGTTTGTCTCAGGTTCTGTGTGAAGCTACAAACGTCTCTGTGGATCAGCCTCTGTCTGGTTGGTTATTGTTAAACTTCCAGGAAAAGCAAGACTGTTATGATCTCAGATGTAAACTGTAAATTATAATTATTGTTAACAGGGTAATAAAGAGCAGCCCATGTGTGTTATACCTGTAGTCACCTCAATTAAGGAAGAAGAGAAGCTCATCCAGTCTTCTACCAAGGTACATGCAGAGCATCACTGTTGTCTTTGCAGCATCAAGTAAGGCTGTCATTTCTGAAACAATGTGTTTTTGATTATAGCTTCAGTGTAGCCTTGGTCATTTTCATTGTTACAGCAGAAACATGTCAGTAAAACGTCATTGTAGCTGATCTCTAACACATCTGTTTTAGAGGCTGCACATGTATAAATTTATTTTCTTTTTTTTTATAGTACTCTTGCAGTATTTGAAATGCCTGCTTGAATATTAACGCAGTGGAATTCAGATGTTTGATCTTTGTGCTTGCTCCTGGTAGCCTGTCGTGAAGCTGGTATACAACAGAAGCAACAACAAGTACTCCTACACCAGGTAACAAAGGTTCCTCCAAAGATCTTATTGGCTCTCGTAATGCAAGAACAATTGTTTTCCTTCCTTTCAAAGTACTCTGTGAGGGGAGACTGTTGGTTGTTTTGAAGCTGATAAACTGTACTGAGCTCGTGGACCTCTGCTCTACATCACTCCGCCTTTATCTCAACAGCAACTCTGACGACCACCTGCTGAAGAACATCGAGCTGTTCGACCGGCTGTCTCTCAGCTTCAACGGCCGCATCCTCTTCATCAAAGACGTCATCGGGGACGAGATCTGCTGCTGGTCCTTCTATGGCCAGGGTCGCAAGCTGGCTGAGGTTTGCTGCACCTCCATCGTCTACGCCACTGAGAAGAAGCAGACCAAGGTGAGGCGGAGCAGCTGGTGGGAATCTCCCGTGTTGCTCTTTGTGTTTTGTGGGTTTTCTTCGGGGTACCGAGTTCCTCCAGTTAGATTCTTATTGTGCTCAGCATTGTTTCTGGGTCACAGGCATAACCTCTGACCCTTCATCATGGACGCTGGACTGACATGCTGATGACTGCGCTGTGTTTGCCAGCTCTTCTTGTTTGATAGCAGCTTTGTGCACTTTGTTGCTTTTTTACACACATACAGGTCGTTGAGTTTGTGAACTAAAAGGAAGTAAGAAAACATTAAAGCACAGTTTGTATGGTGTGAGTGGCAGCAAAGGTGGATTGCTTTACCTGCTGTGACGCTCCAGGTGATGTGACTAAGCTGGGTGGTGGGATTTCAACGTTTCCTTGCAATCACTCCTTCTCAGGTGGAATTCCCTGAAGCGCGAATCTACGAGGAGACTCTGAACACCTTGCTTTACGAGACGATGCCGCTGCCCGACAACTCCCTGCTCGAGGCCACGCGTCGGAGATACAACAACTGTGGCTCTCACAGCGAGGAGGAGGAGGGGCCTGGAGGTCCAGAACTGCGCGAGCGTGTCCGTAGAATCCACGTCAAGAGGTACAGCACATACGACGACAGGCAGCTGGGACACTAGGACCGCTGGACAGACCGCAGCTTTTTCTTTTGATGATGATGAACTTAAAGTCCGATGGATGCTCATATGTTTTTCTTTTATTACTTTCTGCCGTCTCAGAGGTGCAAGTGATGGCCTCAGTGAAACTGCACGTGACTGTAGATGTTCTCTGCTCATTCTTACTTTACACATCATCAGGATTCAGAGCAGCGTTAAACACCGAATACCTGCAGCTTTTTCTTTTCTAATCAAATTTACATTTTGAAGTGCAACAAAGAAAACCACTACCATGCACTGTTTATTAGAACCATCATAGCACACGTAGCAGCAAAGCACGTTTCACATTTATTGACTGTATTTTTCACAGACGCATTCCCAGGTTGTTGTTTGCCGGTGACAAATCTGTTGGATTTACTGGAAATGCTTTGCCTCGAAGGTGTTTTAATGGAGTTTTTCATAAAGCCTCTAAGATAAAAGTTAGTGTTGTTCTGTATTTGTTTGTCTTTGTTTGTGGGAGGCAGGTGTTATTGTGGTTTGAGCTCAGCTGTCAGAGGATTCAAACGCAGTCGACTCGGAGACCAGCTGATGCTGAGCTATTCTAACGCCTCAGCTTTCAGTCTTCAGACAACTTCGACCATTTTCAGAGGACTGTTGGGGTTTTTGTTTGTCATTCAAGCATTTAAAAACAGGAACCTAGCAACAAGGTGATTCTCCATTACTGAGAGTTGATTTTGTCGTCGGGATAAAGGAAAAGGGAAGCAGGGAGATGCTCTAAAGCACAGGTATCAAACTCCAGTCCTCGAGGGCCGGCGTCCTGAAACTTTTCCTCGTGTCCCTGCTGAAACGCACCTGAATGACATTAGTATGTATTTTGAAGATTTGTACAGGTTTAATATTGATTCATTTGTAATGGAGTACAATACAAAGTGTTTGTGTAAAGGGAAATTGTGCAAACACGTATTCTAAGTCAACCATGGTGACTCTGAGCTGCTGGCATTGAAACACCTGAAGCCACGGACACAGATGGAGGAACGGCTGCTACAGCATGACTGCGGCTCTTTATTATTCACCCAAAGCACCGATGCATAAATGCTGAAAGAGCAAATGTGTTGGTACCTTTGCAGGATCACAGTACTCACTGCAACACTTACCTTGTGTCCTCTGCCTTGGAGCTTGTTCCCACTTTCAGTGACACAGACGGATCCACTCATCATCCTGTGGGTTCAAGTCAGGTGTCACTATTAAATTATAGCGGGCATAATGCTCACTAATGCTGAACCCTTGGCCTGTCCCGACCAAATATACAGTTTCTTTGTGAAACAGAACTGGATGTAAAATTTCATTTAGTCTTAAATGGATGATGGAACAAAGCGGTTCACTGGAAATGTGTTATACCCTCTTTGGCCACAAGAGGGCGAGTGTGCACACACATATAGACTGATCAAACCTGACTGTGCTACAGGAAACAGATACTGTCTAGTTCCTGCATCAAAGAAGGCACCGCCATCAAAGTTTAACAGGTTGTCAGTTGCCCTCGATCACATGTGATGAAGGTACTGGAGACACTGATAGAGGTCCACAACCATTACATCACCAGGTCGTGGCCCACCTCAGACCACAGGTGAAAACATGTCTTGAAACGTACCCGTACAAGGCGACTGTGATCTCTGTTTCTGTTCACCATCAACTAAGACTTTCAGCACGACTTCGGGTCATGTCACCCACACAAATACTCACAAATACAACTGGATGGATGTGTTAGTGACAGGAGCTCCCGCTGAGGATTTTGTAGAAACATCTGGCGGGAATCATCGGCTGCTGTGATGGAGGAGTACCTGGGCGCCCACTCTGACAATTTGCTAAAATGGAAGACCAACATAGAGGCTGTATGCAACAAGATGAGTATTGTTACAAAATGCTTCAGTGAGAGCACACATACAAGGTCTTAAATAATCAGGCCCCATCTTATCT